GATTTGTTTAGCATCTCAACCGATTTGAATCGTCACATCCAGAAGCAAGAGTTTAAAACTAAAAATGCCTTAATGATGGATTTGTTTCAGCTTTTGTCTTCTCCAGATGTTAACTGGTGGACTGGACTGGTGTGGATTATTGTGATGTTTTTATAAGACTCTCATTCTGACGGCACCCATTCACTGCAGAGGATCCATTGGTGAGCAAGTGATGCAATGCTACATTTCTCCAAATCTGATGAAGAAACAAACTCATCTGCATCTCGGATGGCCTGAGGGTGAGGAAATGTTCAGCAAATTTTCATTTGTGGGTGAACTATTCTTTTAAACAAAACTACAAATGTGTTTTGCATGCTTCAAACCTACACTGTAAAAAAGCCAACTAACAAAAAGTCCTCCAAATAAACATAAAACAGTAAATTGAACTAAGACATTCTGATTGGAAGTGTTCATGCATGATACTAAGTTGATTCAACAAATTCGTTCCTTAAATGTTAAAAACGTGCAATGTTATGTTGATCTTACTAAGAAGTTTAGTTTTCCTTAAATCTCACGATTCTCGTTAGCGCGTGCGCAGTTTGAACAGTGAACGCATGCGCAGTATGAGATTTAAGCTACTTAATCACGGGGTTTCCAGAGTCTGATGCAGGTGAGAAGACAGCGGTTTCCAAAAGTTGATGGTGAGAAGAAGCGGTTGACAGTGTCCTGCCTAATCAATCCTTCTTTTCTGCACAATAACTGGTATGTATTAATCATTTATATAATCGCCTATGTTATTTGTCACATATAATATATTGTGCTCTTCCCAAACTGACGGCCTATTCTAATTTAGCAGTGGTTTACTGATTTAGCACACTGAAAAATGCATCAAATGAAATCGTTTTAATAATGGCGAAATTGCGAAAATAATGTAACGTTAGAGTATTAAATGAGACGTTTGCTCATGGGTATAGACAAAAATGTATAGTAAATGAGCACTGTGCACCTCTTTTCAAGTTTTGAGAGAATATTGCTAATGGGAAAAGGGGTTTTATTTTAATAATCGTTTGATGGAAAAAATCGCGTGATATTCATAATGTAGTATAATGTTACTGCTTTGGTGCCCTTTTGAATAAAAAAAAAAAAATCCATATAAAAATGGGATAAACTGTTGAAAAAATAATGTTTTCACAGCGAATTAGTCCATAGGAGGAAATGCAATGCAGATATTGTAAATTTTCAAATTCTGACCCAGAGGTCCTGGTAAAGCATTACAGGCTTCGTCATGGACAAGGTCATAAAGGAACAAATTGGCCTTGCCTATATTCAGATTGTGTCTGCTCATTCCGGACACAAAGTGCTTTAAGATCGCATTTGTCACGCTGCCACACCCCCCCGAACTATTAGGCAAGTTAGCCTATCATTTAAATGTGAGCTATGTGAGTTTGAAAATGTTTGCAGTGAAAGACATCTTAAAGGACATCTAAAAAGCCATGAAACTGTACGGTGTCCTTTTTCTGGCTGTGAGTATAAAACCAACAGGCTTACAAATGTTGCCTCTCACAGGACTAGGAAACACAAAACTCACACAACAAATGATTTAAGAAACTCGGTCATTACTGAAACTGAGAACATTAACACTGATACAACATTGAACTTTGATGATAATGATGACCATGATGCTGGGGAGTCCTCACAGACTGTTCAAAAGGCTACTGACTCTGAAAGTGTGGATATTGAAACTCTTGAGCATAAACTGGCTTCTGTATTTTTGAAAATGCAAACAGTCTTGCATATATCAAAGAGTGCCATCCACAATATAGTTGAGGAAATGCATGATATATTGCACTTTTCCAAGTCTCTTGCTGTTGAAAGCATCAAAAATATTTTGGTCAAACGAAAAATTGATGTAGATAATTCTATCCTTCAGGAAATTAACAGTGCCATTTTTGAGACCAATCCTCTTCTCCTGACTACTTCAGAAAAAGGAAGTTTGTCCACAGACCACAGAAGGAATTCATATTTCAAAGAACACTTCTCTGTAATTGAGCCAACAGAGTATCTCTATGACAGGACACACAAAAATCACTTCGTTTATGTGTCTTTGTATCATGTTCTGGAATGCTTACTAGCTCATAAAGATCTTTTGGATAAGATTGTGTTCAGTGGAGAGTCTACTCCTGGACATTTTGAGTCTTTTCAAGATGGTTCTTACTTTAAGGAGAACAGACTTCTTGGTGACAAAGACCTTGCAATATCTTTGGGACTGTATGTGGATGAATTTGAAGTGTGCAATCCCTTGGGCACTTTGAGAAAAATCCATAAGATTGTCTATTAATGTTTTTATTATCATTTATTTTTTAATTAATAGATCTGCATGGAGTTTTTTCGGATCAGTAACGTTGACCTCCTGGGGAAGTTCAACATGTCCCTTGAAAAATACACAACACCTCTCCTGAAACTGTACAGAAAGAGAACAGATGCATTTGGAGCAGAAATGAAGACTCTTTTGGACAAGCTGGATGAACAGGTAATCTCAAGATTCTTTAATATGTAGAAAAAAAATTCAGTATTTACAGCTTTCTGAATAGGGCCATTGATGCAATTTTGCGCATTTTTAAAAAATATATATTAGGTTTAACACATAACAGTAAAACTAAACAAAATAAACTTGCTACTTTTAGTAATAAGTTAAATGTAAAATTATAATTGTTCACCCTGAAATTATTCTGTAATCTTTTTCTTACCCACGTGCTTTTCTAAACCATTAAGACTTCCTTTGCCCTGCAGAACATAAAAGGAGAAATTTAGCAAGAAAGAAATTTCAGTCATTTACATACAGTGACATTTGATAGTTACCATTTTTTCAAGGCCTTTTTGCATTTGTTCAAAGTGGTGTCTCAAGAAATGCCGAAACCAATGGCATTTTGGCAGTATTTCAAAGGTTAAAGGGTTAGTTGAAATTTCTGTCATTTAGTACTCACCCTCGTGTCGTTCCACACCAGTAAGACCTTTGTTCATCTTTGGAACAGAAATTAAGATATTTTTGATGAAATCCAAGATTTTTTTTATCCCCCATAGAAATCAACGTAATTACCGTCATTCAAGGTCCAGAAAGGTATTACAGACATTGTTAAAATAGTTTTTTTTTTCTCAGGCCGAGCTAATTGTATTTGGTTTCTATGTAGACACTGGTACTTCCAAGGCCAAGAGTGGATTACAGGCATATCATTGTAATTGTAGTTTCAATGTTGATGTTCTGACAAAAATGTACAGTGCATTTATAATAACTGAGTAATGTTTGTGGTTTACTCTGATGCTTTCACTTGTTTTTGGGTTCTTGGACACAATAGTAACTTAGTTTTGAGGAACTCTTAGGTTGATGTTAAAATATGCAATATAGTAGTTTTCACATAATAGTTCCTTTAAAAATCAACCAAAAATGATAAATACATGTGCAAATGTGCTTCATGCCACAAGACAGCTAACGTATTAAGGTATAATTAACACTGGATTTCTTTAACATTTCAGACACTATAACTGAAATAATAATAACAAACTAAATAGACATTTAAAATACTAATAAAACACAAAAAAACAACAAATTTAAAATAAAAAAATAAAAACGAATTTTTAAAAAAACTATAATAATACCAGATTTGAACAACAAACATAGCCTGTTACCTTATTAAATTAAATTAGATTTACTATGCAAATTGATATACTAAGAACGTACTATTTATTTACTTACAATTTACTAATATCAAAGAGTACTAGATTTTTTCATTTACTAAAATCATATAGCACTAGATTTTTGAATTTTTTAATATTAAAAAATACTTCAAGGTAGCTCACATTACAGTTAGGATTATAGGACAAAACACACTTTTTGTGATTTTCATAAATCACTTTTGTACATTTAAACTTTATTATGTTGTAAAACTAACAGTAAATTATCATTTTCATTACATCGTCACTTATTTTATTAGTTAATCGTAAGAGGAACCAATACCATATTCAAAAGAATTGCTCAGAGAATGTGTTCATGCTATTAGACCACAACAAGCAGCATTGCTCAATCTGTTCTTAGGACTTTAAAGCGAACCAGGGATTTTAACCCTTGTGCGACCATTTGGACATTTTTGTCCTTTTCAGTTTTTAGTTTTTTTTATAATTTTGCCTGTGTTATTGCCAACTGCATACATTTTGGCACAGGTGTGTATTTTTATTGGAATTTTTACTATTTCACTTCAATTTCCTTTAATAAATCTGTTTTGCACAAGGTACAAAAAAATTGTTCCTCTCAGGACCTTAAGGACAAACATGTCCCCATTGAAACCCATTAAAACTGCTATTTTTAATCGCAGTGCCATTTAACGGTAAAATTATGCAATTTTTGTTGATAGGCTTTCATTATATTTTGCATGGCTTTAAAATCTAATTTTTTACTATTTTTTACCAGATGGTGCCATTTTTTCAGGTTTGACCTATAAAGAAAATACTCGCTTTATTTCTGTTTTCTGTATATTATAGAGCCAATTGGATAAATAATGCAGCTGTAATTGTGTGTGTGTGTTGGTGTCAGAGTGTGGTTTGTATGTGTCATAAAAAAAGTTATTGTAATATTTCAGAGGGAAAAACTCTACTGCAAATGTGCACCAGCGGAGTTTTGCTGGCATCTAATGGGCAAAATTTGGTACTGTGCCCAAACAAAATCTTACTGAAAGCTCATTTGTTGAGATATCAACCTCAAATTTGGAATACAACTTGTTTAGATGTATGGCTTTGATTTTCTAGCAGGTATAGAGGTCAACATGTTTCATAAAATATATATTTTATATAAAACATCGTTCATAAATCATTTTCATAAACCTAAACATCTAGAACTTTTTTTTTGGTTTCACTTTTTAAACTTTTTTTTACTTCAACAATAATCTGCCATGGGTCTTCTTTAAAATGAGACCAAACTTAACTGTGCTCCCAAGCTTCAAATTTTTATGACAGTTTTTTGACATGGACATTTTTGTCCACTATGGACCTATGTGTAACTCTTTTTAATTGACGCACAAGGGTTAAGGCACCTCTTCCTTTAGATTTAATGCTTCTGACTTTGGTCTGGGCTGTGTTTCGGCTCGGCTTTAGTTCGACAGCAGGAAGTTGCTGCCTTTACTGTTTCCTTTTGTGATATCAGACACCAGGGAGTGCAGCCGCTCTGATAAAGCCACCTTTAAGACAATGTTAAGAAACACACTTTCAGTCTGCAGATGTCATTTTCAAGTATGTATTCCAGTTGCTGATATGGTGAACTCACGGTGTAATCGTGCGGCTCTTGTAGTCTCTTATGGTGAGGATGCAGCGTTTGCAGAGACATCTGTGCACGCTCACGACTCTCTGATGCACTGTTTAGGGGGAATGTGATCTGTGCACACAATCACACACACATCTGAATTAGAAAAGGCCATGAAATCAACATTGGAGTTTTGTGTTTTTTTGAGCTACATTTGTACAAGTACATTTGAGCTCATAGCATCCAGATGTGCTCCTAAAAGTTCAAAATAAACTTTAAATGTACCGTATTTCTCTTCGATTAAAGGAACAGTTCACCCAAAAATGTGCATTTGTTGAAAATGTGCTCACACTCAGGTCGTCCAAGTTGTAGATGAGTTTGTTTCTTCATCAGATTTGGAGAAATGTAGCATTGCATCACTGTCTCACTGCAAGTGAATGGGTGCCGTCAGAATGAGAGCTGATAAAAACATCACAATAATCCACAGCACTCCAATCCATCAGTTAACATCTGGAGAAGACAAAAGCTGAAACAAATCCATCTTTAAGATGTTTTTAACTTTAAATGCTTCTGGCTAAAATACGAGTCCATAATTCATCCTATTGGTTTCTGGTGAAAAAGTGTTCTGGTCTGAATCAGGAGAGAAATCTGCACAGATCAAGCAGCGTTTACAAGCCAAAACAGCTCTAAACAAATATGTGGCTGGATTTGGATGTGAGAGACAACAGGAGATGCACTTTTTCACTTCAGGAAGCATTATTATGGATTATGGACTCGTATTTTAGTTAAAAACGTCTTAATGCTGGATTTGTTTCAGCTTTTGTCTTCTCCAGATGTTAACTGATGGACTGGAGTGCTGTGGATTACTTGTGGATTATTGTGATGTTTTTAATCAGACGCTCATTCTGACGGCACCCATTCACTTGCAGTGAGCAAGTGATGCAATGCTACATTTCTCCAAATCTGATGAAGAAACAAACTCATCCTAATCTTGGATGGTCTGAGCGTGAGCACATTGTCATTTTTGGGTGAACTATTCCTTTAAAACAGATCAAAAATATTCATATCATCCACAGACTGATATCGTCAGTGTTTACTTGTCCACAGGTGAAGACATCCAAACGCAGACTGGTTACTTGAGCTGGTGTGACCGTCTGAAGTGTCGTGTTCAGTCCTAGAGGGAAGCAGTTCAGCGAGACGGCCGCTTTAGGAGCCGGTTCTTCTGACAGACAGATCAGATCCATCTGCGGATGACCTGCCAAACAGACGTTCATATGAACTACATTCAGCTAATGGTGCTGGCAAACCTGCGAAAGGTGCACTAAGCTATTTTTTTCACTTAAAGATCAAAATAAATATTATATAATGCTATATACTATATTGACAAACAAAACCAGTATCACATTTGTATTGAAATATTGATATTTTTCAGCCTTTTTGCAAGATTCTCTCTCTGTATGTCATAGCAAAATTCGACTGACTGAAATTTTGTTCTTTATACATGAGAATATATCAATATAATACATATGAGAATATATATACAGACAAATATTTATATATTTGCTCTGAAATGTTTTTTTAAGATGTTAAAAAAAACATTAAAACCATCACAATATTCACATTGTTGCTTATATTACCAGCATTATCATAAAAGATATTGTGAATATTCCCTTTAAAGCTCAAATTATTACTACAAAAAAATGAGAAAAAGAGAAAGAAATAATGGTAACACTTTACATATATATATTTAACGCATTAACTAACAATGAGTAATGCATTTGTTAGAGTATTTCATTATTAATCTTTGTTAACGTTAGTTAATAAAAAATACAACTCTTGTTAGTTTTCATTTTTTAAATGTATTAGTAAATGTTGGAATCAACATTAACTAAGATTAATAAAAGCTTTAGATGTATTTTTTGATATTGTTAACTAATGTTAATAAATGGAACCTTATTGTAAAGTGTTACCAAAAATATAATAAATATTAAGATATGATTAAAAGTAAATACAGACCATCTGCGTCTAGAAGCCTATAGACAGACTTGCGTCCCGGCAGTGTGCTTTTCTCTGGATCTTCACTCATCTTCATTCGGGGACGACCTCTGACCTCTATCAGCTACAGTGAGTGAGTAATACAACCATCAGCATGCATTAATAAAGCACTGTGCGTGACTTTTAATGCCGTGTTGACTTCACAACTGGGTCAGTCTTTGTACCTTATACACACACCCCAGAGAGGGCTGCCGCGTGCATGTGACCAGATGCGTCCCCACTCCAACCACGTCGATCTCATTATCCTGACACACAGAGAACCCGCTGATGAATGGCTTTATTGCTGTGTTTAATTCATCTGTGATGTGAAGAGCTCTTACTTTCTTGTTGAGTTCAGCGAGACTCTGTTCAGAAATACTGTTTGTGCCGACGATGATGAGAGACTCAAACTGAGGAACGGAGAAGCTGCAGACAGAGAAACACAGAATAAAATAGATCTGAGTGATCGCATGCTGAAGTTTAAGACTTCTGGTTCAAACCAGTGCTATTTTAGTATCGTGTATTATTATAGGTTTGGCTGATATTGTAAAATAGGTTTTATTTTCATTTTTAGGTGTGTGTTTTTGTTTTTTTTAAACATGTCTATATTGTTTTTAATAAGTTTTAGTTTATAGCTTTATTTAACTTACTTTTAGTAATTTTAGTGTTTGAACTTTTTATATCTAGCTGACAAAATATTTTACTTTGTTTATGTAATAAAAATATTTCTATGGATTTAGCTAACGATAATAACCCTGGTAAAAACTGAAACTAAAACTATTAAATATAATTTTCTGTAACTGAAATGAAGCTGAAATTAATTCAAATATAAAGATTAGATGAAAAACTGTCACAACTAGCTGTGCAAACACGCATTAAGACGGAGATGATCAATAAATAGTCTTAATTAATCCAACAGAGGTAAAGGCAATCCAATAATAGCTGTAACGGAGATGAGACCCGACAATGAAACGCAAAGAGAAGTGAACTGAAGCAGGGGAGATGATGACAAACACACCTGAACATAAAGATGAAATCAAATCAGTAACTATGACAATTAACTGTTGCCTTGGCAACTAACTGAAATAAGTTTTAAGGCTACATAGAAATATATATTTAAAAAAAAGCTAATAAAAATACCAAATTATTTCAACTTACTTCATCACCAAAATTAAGCTGAAAATATAAAAATAAATATGAAATAATAAAAGTACATATTCTGTTGTATTAAATTTTTTTAATAATTGTTTTTCTTTTTAAATAGTTCCGTTTTAAACAAAGTATAAAATAAAAATAATAAAAAGTATAAAAATAAAGTTCTATTTTAAGTTATTTTTTTAAACCACACAAATCAGTGCAACATCCTTGCGTTCACTTTTTACTTAAACCTAAATTAAAAAGAAAAAAAAAATATATATATATATATATAGAGAGAGAGAGAGAGATTTTCGTTAAAAAATTTTTTTTTTATTATATTTAAAGTTTTATTATTAAATTTGTTATTTATTCATTTTATTTTATGTCACACAAATCAGGATAATATCCTCCTTTTACTTTTCACTTAAACCAAATCTGAATATATATATATATATATTTTTTTTTATAATTGTTTCTATTTTTTCAAAGTTTTATATTTTAAGTTCTATTATTAAAATTATTTATTTATTTTTTAAGTCACACAACTCAGGATAATATCCTCCTTTTAATTTTCACTTAAAACCAAATCTGAAAATATATATTAAAAAAATTAATAAATAAGAACAAAAATACACTTTCTGGTGTATTTTATTTTTTGTTTCTATTTTTTCAAAGTTTTATATTTTAAGTTCTATTATTAAAATTATTTATTTATTTTTTAAGTCACACAACTCAGGATAATATCCTCCTTTTAATTTTCACTTAAAACCAAATCTGAAAATATATATTAAAAAAATTAATAAATAAGAACAAAAATACACTTTCTGGTGTATTTTATTTTTTGTTTCTATTTTTTCAAAGTTTTATATTTTAAGTTCTATTATTAAAATTGTTATTTATTTATTAATTTTTATTATTTTTTTTAAGTCACACAAATTAGTATAATATCCTGCTTTCACTTTTCACTTAAACCCAAACGGACCCTTTTCACAAGACTGTGATGATGTGTTTAACGGTCATCAGCATCGTAAATCCTCGAAAGTTTTTCATATTTGTATTTTGTTTTTTAATGTATCTACATTTATAACACAATTATTGTATTATATCACCTTTGCATCAAATTACAAAAAACACAGTTAACGCTAATGCAAGGGTGTTTCTAAAGCAGCGTCTATGGGAGGGACGGTAAATTTGACATCGTTCTCTCTTCTGACTGCCGTCATCAGTCTCTCTCTCCATTTTTTTCCTTTTATTGAAAGTCATGAAAACACTATCGTTTTGCTATTTGAGCAAATGTGGTACTCTCCCATTCACAGCTCTTCAAGTCAACCCAACTATGACGACTTCCGCTGCTGAGAAACCCGGAAATGTGAAAAAGGTCCACTGAAATTAAAACTGAAAATATGAAAATAAAGCTATTCAAAATATTTCACAATTCTAAATATTAATCAATGCTATAATATTCTATAAATATACCTAAAATAACACTGACCCCCAAGTCTGAGCAGTACTAAAATGCCTGTGTAATAATGTTGTGTTGTTAGTGTCTCACTGTTGGCTACATTCTTTGAAGACGCGCCGCACTTCCAGCGACTGCCTGCTGAGATCCCCGCTGTCCAGCCTGACGCCCAGCGGCCGGTACTGCAGCTCATACAGAGCCAGAGCCACGGCACAGAAACACAGCAGACCGCTGCTGCAGCACAAACACACACATCTGTCAAACACACCACAGCACACAACACTACTGGATGATCACGTGTCTCTGAGAATGTCCTACCAGCTGACGCTGTAGCTGTCAATCACAGGCAGGAAGTTTTGTGGGTATGCGATGGCGTAGGACAGGAAGGCCGCCAGCTCTCCCTCCCGAACGAGGCTCGTCTTTGACCCCAACAGCTGACAGACACGACCCAGCCAGCCCTTCACCAGACAGATGACGTCAATAGGGCCTCCGCCGCCGCAGGGCACCAGAGTCTGTCAAATCAACACATATGGTTTATCATTTCAGGTCAGTAAAAGAAATTAATACTTTTATTCAGCAAGGATGCATTAAATTGATCAAATGTTACAGTAAGTATTTCTATTTCAAATAAATGCTGTTCTTTTGAACTTTCTGTTCATCCGTGAATACTGAAAAATAAAATACATCACAGTTTCCACAAAAATATTGTGCAGCACAACTTTTTTCAACATTGATAATAATCAGAAATGTTTCTTGAGCAGCAAATTATACTGATTTCTGAAGTCACACAAATTAGGATAATATCCTGCTTTCACTTTTCACTTAAACCCAAACGGACCCTTTTCACAAGACTGTGATGATGTGTTTAACGGTCATCAGCATCGTAAATCCTCGAAAGTTTTTCATATTTGTATTTTGTTTTTTAATGTATCTATATTTATAACACAATTATTGTATTATATCACCTTTGCATCAAATTACAAAAAACACAGTTAACGCTAATGCGAGGGTGTTTCTAAAGCAGCGTCTATGGGAGGGACGGTAAATTTGACATCGTTCTCTCTTCTGACTGCCGTCATCAGTCTCTCTCTCCATTTTTTTCCTTTTATTGAAAGTCATGAAAACACTATCGTTTTGCTATTTGAGCAAATGTGGTACTCTCCCATTCACGGCTCTTCAAGTCAACCCAACTATGACGACTTCCGCTGCTGAGAAACCCGGAAATGTGAAAAAGGTCCACTGAAATTAAAACTGAAAATATGAAAATAAAGCTATTCAAAATATTTCACAATTCTAAATATTAATCAATGCTATAATATTCTATAAATATACCTAAAATAACACTGACCCCCAAGTCTGAGCAGTACTAAAATGCCTGTGTAATAATGTTGTGTTGTTAGTGTCTCACTGTTGGCTACATTCTTTGAAGACGCGCCGCACTTCCAGCGACTGCCTGCTGAGATCCCCGCTGTCCAGCCTGACGCCCAGCGGCCGGTACTGCAGCTCATACAGAGCCAGAGCCACGGCACAGAAACACAGCAGACCGCTGCTGCAGCACAAACACACACATCTGTCAAACACACCACAGCACACAACACTACTGGATGATCACGTGTCTCTGAGAATGTCCTACCAGCTGACGCTGTAGCTGTCAATCACAGGCAGGAAGTTTTGTGGGTATGCGATGGCGTAGGACAGGAAGGCCGCCAGCTCTCCCTCCCGAACGAGGCTCGTCTTTGACCCCAACAGCTGACAGACACGACCCAGCCAGCCCTTCACCAGACAGATGACGTCAATAGGGCCTCCGCCGCCGCAGGGCACCAGAGTCTGTCAAATCAACACATATGGTTTATCATTTCAGGTCAGTAAAAGAAATTAATACTTTTATTCAGCAAGGATGCATTAAATTGATCAAATGTTACAGTAAGTATTTCTATTTCAAATAAATGCTGTTCTTTTGAACTTTCTGTTCATCCGTGAATACTGAAAAATAAAATACATCACAGTTTCCACAAAAATATTGTGCAGCACGACTGTTTTCAACATTGATAATAATCAGAAATGTTTCTTGAGCAGCAAATTATACTGATTTCTGAAGATCATGTGACACTGAAGACTGGAGGAATGATGCTGAAAATACAGCTGCGCATCACAGAAATAAATTACATTTTACATTATATTCACATAGAAACCATATTTTACATTGTAATAATTTTTTTTTTTAATTATGTATTTTTGATCAAATGAATGCAGCCTTGGTAAGCAGAAGAGAGTTATAAAAACATAAAAAGTCTTAATTATATATATATATATATATATATATATATATATATATATAGATATATATATATATATATATATATA